TGTAAAATAAATAAGTAACTGGGATGTAATGTATAGCATAAGGAATATAGTCAAAATATTGTACCAACTTGTTATGGTGATAACTGGTACCTAGAATTATCATGTATATAAATGTTGAATCACTGTGTTGTACACCTGAAACTAATGTAATACTGTGTGTCAACTACCCTTCAATAAAAAAATAATTATCTAAAAAAAATAAAAATAAAAAAAATAAAAATCATCCTGTATGGCTTACCTTCTGGCTAAAGGCCATATTTTAAAAATCAGAAACTAGAGGCATTCCTTTCTTCTAAGTGTAGCCCCCTCCACATTAGTTTTTGCCTATTTTGGGTCTTTCTCCAAATCATTCAGATCTTTCTTTTTTAATATTTTATCCTGAGATCATAGTTATTTGTATGCAGGTTGGTTTGATAGGAGCTACTGGACTAATATTGGAAGTAGAAACTCATTAAGTGTTCTTCTTTAAATAGAGTTTTCTCTGGAGTGACTCAGAATACTTGAGAAAAATTTATTTCATAATCTTATAATACAGAAAGTATATAGTAATAACTATATTCTTCCCCATCCTTCAGATAATAAGACAGCATGCACGGTTTTCATGATCCTACAATAAAAGTATAGCTATGGAAATAAAACTTATATGCTCCATTGCTTATTCTTGTAAAAAGGCTTTGAGGATATCATACATGTTTCCTGAAAATGGAAAAAGGATTGAATGCTTTATTTCTCATTGAAATCAGTAGAAAGCAGTTTAGTATAGGGGAAGCACACAGCCTTAGAGTCAGACATATTGGAGGTCACATACTGGTTCTGCCATTTACTAGCTATTTTCACTTTGTACAAATTATTTAACCTCTTTGAACCTCAGTTTCCCTATTTAAAATGAAATACCTTTCATAGTTCTATCAAATAATATTATGTGCTTGGCACAGGCTATAAATAAACAGCATACCCAAAAGTCATTATCCTCATGGTCATCATTATCGTAATTGCTGAGTTGAAGTAATAAAGCAAGGAGTTCTACTAAAATAATATATTTTCAGTAGCATCTGAAAAATCTTAAAGGGAATTTTTATTTTGTGCCTGTTCTTTTCTTCATCTCCAATAAAAATGGAGTCCCCTTAGACTGCTTCACAACCTTACCAAACAGCCTCTGGGCACCATTAACAGTGTTAAAAGTATATATTAAGCCCGATATTGTGTTCAAACACACTTTATAAAGCAAATTGGGCTTTTAAGATTTTGAAATTATTTCAGTTGGCATACTAGGCACAGAGAGATCCCTTATATAGATGTCACCTCTTAAGTAGGTGACCGGAGTGAATGGGTAGCATATAGTTTTCATGACTAGGATGACAGGGCCTTAGTCAGATGAGAGTCCATGATTAGACATACCCTCCTTTCTTTAACCAGAGAACCATACATAACTGAACGTAGCATTGATGATTATAACTTAGAAGATTGTATGTTGCTAGGTATTTTGAATATTTTTGCTTCCAATTAGTATCTTTTTTTCTTAGCTTTTAATTTTAAGATAAAATGATAATTGTGATCTGCTGTGTAGTTGCCCACCTTCCCATGGTCAACAATGTAAAAGGGGCAAATTTCAAATACACAAGAGCAGTATTTTATATCACCAGTAGTCATTAGTGCCTGGCACACAGTACATGCTTCATAAATCTTTAAATAGGATGATCAAAGGAGGGTCAAACCACTATTTCTAAGAGTCAATTTTTATGGTACCATAGGTGTCATGGTGTAAAAGTGGAGGGAAATGAAGGATGTTGGAAAGGTCCAATTTAGTCATTTCTGGTCATCTAGGTTCTGAGACCCCTGTGCCTTGCCAGGTCTTAAGGGCATAAGACATACTTCTTAACACATCACAGGAATATTATTTTTTTGGGGAAAAGCTTTTTGATATTGATATTAAAGGTATTAAATAAAAACCTAAGGTAATTTGGGTAAATTATTCATCACATAAGAGTGGGGTATATATATGTAAAAGAATATAAGGTAGATATAAGGAATTCCTACAACTCAACAACAAAAAATAAGCCAATGAAGAAATGAGCAAAGGACTTGAATAGACATTTCTCCAAAGAAGATATTGCTCAATATCACTAGTTAGTAGGGAAATGTTAATCAAAACCACAATGAAATATCACTTCTCACTCATTAGGATGCTTGTTATTTAAACACACACATCCTTGTTGGCAAGGATATAAAGAAACTGGAACTCTTGTGCCTTGCTGGTGGGAATGTAAAGAGGTTGAGTCAATACAGAAGACAGTTTAGTGGTTCCTCAAAAAAGTAAAACATAAAATTACCATACAGTCCATTAATTTCACTTCTAGGTATATACCCCAAGAAATTGAAGGCAGGGACCCAAACAGATATTTGTACACCAATGTTTATAGGAGCATTATTCACAGCAGCCAAAAGAAAACCCAAGTGTCCATTGATGAATGAATATGAATTAACAAAATGTGATATATACATACAATAGAATATTATTCAGCCTAAAAAGGGAAGTCTTGACACATGTTACAACATGGATTAATTTTGAAGACATTATGCTACATGAAGTAAGCCAGACACCAAAGAACAAATACATGATTCCACTTATATAAGGTACCTAGAGTAGTCAGATTCACAGAGACAGAAGGTAGAATGATGGTTGCCAAGGGAATGAGGGAGAGGGCTAGGGAGTTATTTAATGGGTGTAGAGTTTCACTTTGGGAAGATAAAAAGTTCTGAAAACAGATAGTGGTGATGGTAGCACAATAATGTGGAGGCACTTAATGGCAGGGACCTGTGCACTTAAAACTGTTCAAATGGTAAAGTTTGTGTTACATGTGTTTTACCACAAAAGAAAAAAAATAATAGAGGTAGACAGAAAATTTAGGTGTGAGAATTGTGAAGGGAAGCTGAGGTAAGGATACTGACTAAAACATTTTTAAGCATCATTCTTCAAGTTTTACCACTGTTTGTTCAGGGTTTACAAGGACCTCCAGGGAGTGCAGGAGACAGGGGACTTGAAGGAGAACAAGTAAGTTTATCTTTATACTTACATAATTGTGTTTTTTTAATAAATGCATTTACTTTTTTGTTATTTTCCCTTCTTGTGTGTGGCTGGTATGTTTGAAAACAGTATTTATCATGGACACCTAATTATATAGGACAAATATTTAGCTGTGAATATAGTTTTTAGAGCCCTCCTGTTTTTATATGGTCAAATCCTGTTTTTCTGATACTGTTAAAACTTCACATATTTCTATTTTTGAAAAAGATAATTCTGTTTTATTGAATCTCAGAAATTTCCTTTCCTAATGGCTTTCTGTTTATGGCAGTAATTATTACACTGCCACATGCATACACAAACATATTTATGAGGCCAACTCTATAATAAAAGACCAGAAAAGCCAAACTATACACATGATGGGCCAGAGTGTACAAATGGCGGAAATGCTGGTACATCAATAATATAAAAACTTACGTCACAATTTCATGAATGTGATCCAATTATAGCATTTCCATGGAAAATGAATAGTGAAAAGGAAAGATCTTGTCATAACTACTTTCTCACAATTTATTCTTTATTGCCTGTGACGTCACTCTTCTAGTTAATGATGTCAGATGTAATATGCTATAACATGCTTCTAATATTTACAATACAATATAGTCCTTCATACTGCTGGGCTGGTCTTATCCATGAGTTGATGCAAAGGTTTACAGGTGGCCTTTGCATAATTCATTTAGCAAGTAGCAAGTGGAAAATTCTAAAAGTCAGAGAGATGTTCTGACCAAACTGTTCAGTTCCTCCTTTACATATTTAACCTATGCTATAAGCTCTACAAACAGTAAATAAAGGTTTCCATATGTCCCATGTATTAAATATTCCATATATTAAATAATATATATATATATAATATTCTCTGCAAATAGTCTTAGATAAGGTATTGGTTTTATCAAACTAAATCCTTGGTTTGCTCTCTGGTTTGTATCTCAACTTGCCATCTCAATCCTAATATTACTTCATCAAAAATAATGCAATTCTCTTTAGCATTATATACGTAAGTATCTTTTTCTTCTAAAAAGTCTGTAGCTCCTTGAAATCAGAGACCATTTCCTTCAACTTTATAACCTTCTTTCCTGGTGTAGTGTCTGGCAAAGTATATCTTCTTAGTGCTACTTGTTAAATGGAATTGACAAAGGCTATATACCCGAAGGCATGATTATTCAGCCAGTATGTTAGATGAAGTGAAATAGAATGAGAACTAATTTAGTCTTAATAAATAAAGAGCATACCTAAGTAAAGGTAAGTATGTTAACAGAGTTATGGCAACAGTAGAGATACTATCTCAGGCTTTATACAGGTCAATATTTGTTATTGTAGCCATAATGACTAAATGGCTTATCAGCACCCAAATTTGATATTACTATAATAATTTAGAAAAGAGTTTAAGATAACTAAACATACCACAGTTTTTCTTACCATTACTACATTTTTAAAAATTAGGTCTTCACAAACTGTTAGAGTATAATCTCATAGAAAATTTTGTCTTGTTATTTTCTGAATCTGAATAAAATAACTTATTCGTACTATCTTTCCAGAAAGATCAAACAGTGTAAGTAGCTCCTTTGGGTGGCTGTGGCAATAGCATTATAGTATAGTTATTAAATAAATATTAATCTATCTAAAATAATTCTAGCCAGTTAAATGGCTTCCATACACAAAGAAGATCCTTTATGTTCAACAATTTAATCTTTATGCAATAAACAAATTATTCAGTGTTAGTTTACTTCTAATAATTGCTATACAATATTACAGGGACCAATATTTCCATTAACTTTGCAACACATTTTATTGCTTAACTTTATAATCATAAAGATATATTGCAAACCTTAGTGATTGTCCCCTGTAAACATTGTTAGATCTATTCATATGAAATAGAGGAATTGTTGAACTGGATTCACTACCATAATAAAGTATGACAAGCAAACTCCAAACTACTTTTACTTCAATAGAGACCGTGTTTGCTTCTTTAAAAATCCCATTTTTGTTTGTCTTAAAAAATTGTATCTACACCTGTCATTCCCATTAAGTAGTTAACTTTGGAAAGCCTCTTAGCACAATGTTTTACTCTTATTAGGTGCTTGATTAATGTTTATTGAGTGAATGGGTGAATTAGGGAATAAAAATGTGAAAGGTATTATACTTTTTTTCCTTTTCTTTTCTTTTGAATCCAAGCATAGCTTAATATTGCTCACACACACACAAGACCACAAATGCATCAGATATTTAGACTGCAGATAAAATTTTGTTTATAAAGAGAGTTAAGTAATACATAGATAATATGTATTTTCTTACATATGATGTAATATAAATTTCCTATTTAGATTTTTATGTTCATTGAAATCTAGAGTAAATTTTGACTTGGATCTTAAATTTTATTTTAATATAGGGACCACGAGGACTGCAAGGTGTTGCTGGACCTCCTGGAGAAATGGGTGCTGAGGTAATGATTTTGTAGCTCTTTCTTATTTTTTAAGAAATCAATAATTTTTTAAGACTCCTCTAAGGCAAAGTTGATATATCAGATACATAGTTTGAAGAATAATTCTAATAATGTTTTGTTTCATACTCAGAAAATAAACCCTAAAATCCACTAAAAGCAAGGATCACTTTTGAATGAATATAATTTTATGCATACAAATTTCTCTTAACAACTCATCTAAAAGATAGAACAAAAAGTGAATGCAACTTTGCCTTCACTGATTTAGAGTTGACTTAATAACTCTTCTCTCTAAGATGTTCTGTTTCCTTTATAGAAGAATATTAAAGTGACCCCTGTTTGGATGTATCTTGGAATAATAAACCTTACTTGTTGTAATTATAAACTTCATTTCTGTTTGTTAACTTTAGCTCTAATTAAGTTAAATGTAAATTGTCTCCTTTGGCTTCTGTGAAACTTCTCTTTCTTAATTCTTCTCTTTTCCTTCCAATTAGCCTTTGCCTGTCTTTTGTGAAGCTGTCCTTCCTCTTCCCTTAGTTTAGCAATCATATTACTGCCGTGACTTTGATTCCTCATAACATGCTGACAGCTCTCAGCGTGACAGCTCTAACCCACGCTCTTCTCTTCAGCTCCATCTTGTCTTACATATGCACCTTGCTACCTACAGACTTCTCAATTCAAATGTCTAAACCAACCATCACTTTCTCACTGTTCTTCCTCCTTTTATTCCTCCTATCTCCCTGACAGAAACCTCTTATGCCCAGGAACCCAAAACTGAGAATAATCCTGGATTCCTTCTCCTACTTTATTCTCTCCAATCAGCCATCTTTATCCTTTGAATAAGCCTCTCTGATGTTTCAACTGTATGCTTTCCTTTTCATCCCTGTTGCCAGGGCTCTAGTCCTCTGCTCTTACTCCGTGTCTCCTCTAACTCCCACTATTCCTCGGCTGCCCATCAGTTTATCTTTGTCATATTATTCCTCCCTTTGAAATTTTTCAGTGGCTTTCATAGCCTTTAATAAAATATCAATTTCTTAACCTGATAATGTTCTACATTATCTAATGTAGAACCTGTTCAACCACATCCAAATAAAACCTTATTTACCCCTGATGTGCTCTAGTTTTGTTGACCTGTTTCTAATTCTGCGATTATGCCGTATTTTCTGGATATGTCCTTAGTATTCACTAGGGATACAAGGGTGGCTGAGATTTGGTCCCTGAGTCTTTTAGGAGTTTATAATCTATTCCAGAAGGTAATCATATAAGATATCACTGTATTTCAGTGTGTTAGATCCAATGATGGAGGTCTTCATGGGCCAGTATAAGAGCACAGTCATGGGCACTAACTTCACCTGTATAAGAAGAAAAAGATTTGTTGGGGAAGAAGGGACAGGGAGGGGGAGTGATGAGATGAACTTTATGGAATGAGTAGGAGTTAGCTGTAAGAAAATTGGGAATAAGGATAAGGGAATTCCAGAAAAAGGGATAATATAAGTAGGAACTTTCAAACATGAGGCAGTATGGATTCTTCAGTGCTAAAATCAAAACAAGGAGTGGTAATTGATGAAGTTATAAAGAAATGGTTGGACCATGAAAAGTCTTATGTACTATCTTAAGAAGCTTCAGCTTTTTATCTTATGGGCTATAGTAAGTCATTGTAGGGTATAAGTAGGTCAGTGATAAAGTCAGATCTGTATGTTTGGAAGATGATTCTAGCAACCTCATGGAGGATGTATTTGGGAAAACAAGAGTGAAAACAGGTACACCTACTAAATGGCTGTTGTATTCAACCAGGCAAGAAATGATAACCTTCTGAACTAAAGTAGTAGGCATACAAAGGGAAAGAAGACATGAATTTGAGAAATGTTTGTCATATAAATTCTGCAGAACTTGCGTATTTGTGGGATATGGAAAATAAAGGGAAAAGACAAGTCAAAAATTATTCCCAGATTTCTAGATTGTGCAACAGGATAGATGTCAATACCCTTTGCTGAGACCAGAGAAGAATGTTAAGGAGAATAAGGTCATAATCTGCTAATCTACACAAGGTAAATGATTAACAAGTAGCAGAACCTGGCTTTGCATCCATATCTGAATCAAAGCTAATGCTGATAACCTGTATTATACCACATCCTCTGAACCTAAAGAAAGCTGATAGAAGTCATACCTTGTAATGAAGTTTTTTAACAGAATAGAAGACAAGAATTCTGTTGTGATAAGGAATAGGGTTGGGTAGGTCAGCTGAGGAAAATATGCTGGTTTAGAATAGTAGTTGAGGATAATGATGTAACTATTAAAAAATTGGTGAAATGATGGTGAAACAGAGGGAGTATAAAGGAACTAAACTTTTAGCAAAGTGATACATCAGGAAGTAGAGGTATAGCTCTTGAGTTTTAGAAGTAACCACTAGGAAAATTAAAATGAAAAATTATTTATAAAGTAGTTACTTCTGATGAATGGGACTGAGACCTTTCATTGTAAGTCCATCTGTGCCATTATACATATATAGCTTTTATTTTGGTAAAAAGCAAGGTGAATATATGTTGCAGAAGCTGAATCAAAATGCAAAGCTGAGCTTCCTGTCATCTAAAATGCTGTAATTTTATAAAAGATATTTTAATCTCTAATAATTATAAGAAATATTATCACCAATGAGATCAGAACTATTATGGAATCCCTGAAAGATAGAAAGCAAACAGAGAACTTTTGGTCAAGATTGTATTGTGAATGAATGCTTTAAATTGCCCCTCTACTCCAAAAACATAGGAATTAGAGAATACATATGTATGTTTATAATTGTGCACACACACACACAGAGTGAGAGAGAAGAGGAAGCATGAGGAAGTCAGGGGCACGTATAACATGCTCATCAATGAGGTAAATATCTCCGAGAGACAAAAAGAATTCAACAGCAATCATAGGTGTTCCAGGCCTAGAAATAGCCAGAGTTTGCAAGAAGTTGTATGTTTTCAAGGGAAAAGGAAACAAATGCTTCCCAAGTGGACCCATCCATGAAAAGAGAGTGGAAAAAATGCTGTATGTGTCTTTTATAATGTGAATAAATTCATATCTTCTTTGTGTGATATATTTTATAAAACCAATAAAGAATACTGAATTTTTTTAATGAAGTGTATTCCAAAGGACTCAACAGAAATGGATATCAAAGTAAAATGATCACACAGAACAGTAAGAGTATGAGGGTAGAAAATTAGGAGAGGAATGTAGTTTATCTTTTACTAAAGATAAAAGGATGAGAAGAAGGATTAGAAGAAACTGACTTTGAAGGTCCTGAGTGCCAGTAATGTTGCTTTGGCATTTGAACTGATACAATGCCCCTTAGATTATCTAGTCTTAAGCCATGAAGTTTACAAAGGAGCAAAAATGACATTTTCCTGGACCTGCCCAAGGGTAAAAATTACTACCAGCTTCTTATCAGGTTGTTATTGCCTTTGTAATTGGAGAGGGAACAGATACAAACAATGTGTGACATAATTCTCTTCTAGGGACCTTCAGGTATTGAGGGAGAATCTGGTCTGCAAGGCGAGCCAGGTGCAAAGGTAACCTTCCTAAATAGTAAAGGGGAGGGTCTTAGAGAGTCTTTAAACTTTTACCAATCAATCCCCTATGTTTGCTAACCCATCCTGAAAGCAGGTGGAAGACAGCAGATAAAAATGGGAAGTGTTCTCAAATGAGTTAGAAAAATTTGTCAGAAAAAATATCAGCTGTATATTTGCATACAGATGTACACACATATGTATGAATACAAATAATAAAGCCTGGGGAAAATATTATCATTAAATGAATCTGGGCAAAAAGAAAAGGGACGTTTTGGGACTCCTCTCCTCATGATTGCCTTCCGTACTTGTTGGACATGCAGCTCTGGTAGGGATATAATCCTTCCCCTTGTTTCCTCAGGGAGATGTGGGACCTGCAGGCAGCGTTGGAGTTGCTGGGGAACCAGGGTTATGGGTAAGTACCTACCGGAAACCATTTTAATACACTGGCCTGCCTATTTCGGGAATCAAAACTTAGCCTAAAGACTTGAAAAATTACATAATAAACATTCCTAGTGCACTATAGAAAATGTTTGTCTTTATTTCATAATGTCAAAAGCTGCATGCCAAACCATGTTCACATTGTAATTTAGTAGTGTTTAGAATCCTGACCTCTTACATCCTTTGTCATCTGAAGAACCCTGCCAAATAGATGGAATCACTGTGATTGTGACTAATGTCAGCATTAAGAAAAATTCACAAATACTAGTGACAACTCTCAGGATATTTATTGACTTAACAAGACAGGCAAAAGATTGAAATCTAATTTATGTTTAAAAAAACAACTACAAAAACTAGAGTCATGCAAAGTTAACAAGATTCAAGGAAATAATTGTAAATTGTAATCGAATAGTTTACAGAAATTATTTTAATGTAGACAGCCCTTAATTGGAGCTGTGGTAAGGTTTTTCCTAAGATAACAGTGCCCAAGAGAATTTTAAGTGACATTTATTTACTAAAAGTCAATCTCGGGAGATGTATTTTGCACATCTTTCTTTTTCATTTTCCACTTTTTTATATTTTTCAGGAGGCAGGCAGTACAAGATCAGGGTAATGCGAGTGTTAATGATGGGAGCAATGGGGTCACTGTGAAGATGGACTGATTAATTCACTTTTAAATAGTTCAGGTGGCAAGAGAGCCAGTGCTACTTTAACAGCTTCATATAGTATGGCTCTACATTTCTGTACAAGTTTTATATGTAGGAGATAGCTTCTTGAAATACCAGGGCCTTAATTGTTATCTCTTCTCTATAAAAATCTGGTACAATGATTTTAACTGAATTAAGTTGTATTAATCCATGTAAATTCAGTATAGCAAGATACTGTAATTTTATGAGATACAGTATTTACAGTCCCTCAACTCAGAAACACAGATGTGTAGCTGTATAAATTTCTAGAGCTACCAAATGAATGTATATTACCTTTCACTATCTAAAAGTTATTAATATTCTGGGACCACCTTGTATTTGAATTTACAGTATGACTCTTTACATCATCTTCAGAGCTAGTCTAGGCAAATTAAATAATGCTTATTATATTACCAACTACTCCTTATAAATAGGTAGAAGTAGGAGTAATTATATAGAAACACATTACTTTCTATAGATAGCAGGAGCAAAGAATAAATTAAGAGAAGTGATTTAGAAGAATAATAAATCTTGCTGTTTCTGCTTCAAAATAGGGTGAACCAGGAACTGCTGGAGAAGAAGGTCACCAAGGAAAAGATGGATTAAAGGTAAATTACACCTTTAAAACTATGATTAAGGTTCATTTTGTTATGAAATCTTTAAAATACTACACATAATTATTTGTATCATCCAAACAAAAATCTGCTTATTGTGTGGTATAATTGTTTCAGTGCTTTTCCTTTCATAAAAATTTTTATTGGGTTACAGGGAAGCCCAGGAGGAAGTGGACTTCCTGGAGAGGATGGAGAAAAAGGAGAAATAGGTTTACCAGGGACTGTGGGGTCCTTGGGTAGACCAGGTCTAATGGGCCCTCTGGTGAGTAATGCTGGGTCCATTTTCAAAGACTCAGTGAACTCAGTTCCCTGTGTACACACACACACACACACACACACACACACACACACACACACACACACACACACACACATTTTCAAAGACTCAGTGAACTCAGTTTCCTGTGTACACACACACACACACACACACACTGACTCCCTTATTTGTCCACCTGGTAATTGGTAGGGTGGAACTGTGGCTTGAGAGAGGGACAGACCAGACACTGATTATCAGCCTCAACATCCAAGGCGAAAAGACACTTTTTCATGTGTCTGGAACACAAGCTTTCGAACCTAATTTTTTTCTCCTGCTTTATTGAGATATAACTGACATATAACACTGTGTAAATTTAGGGTGTACAATGTGATGATTTAATGTGCATATATATTGCTAACTGATTATCATAATAAGTCTGCTTAACACATCCATCACCTCACATAGTTACCTTTCATGTGTGTGGAGAGAATTTTTAAGATTTACTCTCTTAGCAACTTTAAAGTATATAATACAGTATTAAGTATAGCCACCATGCTATGCATTAGATACCCAGAAATTATTCATCTTTTAACTGGAAATTTGTACCCTTTGACCACTTTCACTGATTTCCCCCATCTCTGCCCCTGGCAACCACCAATCTACTCTCAGTTTCTGAGTTCAGGTTTTTTAGGTATCACATATACATTACATCACACAGTTTTGTCTTTCTCTGTCTGACATATTTCACATGGTATAATGCCTTCAAGGTTGATCCATATAGTCACAAATGGCAGCATTCCTTTTTATGGCTAATAATATCGCATTGTATATATAAATCATATTATATGTATAAATCATATATATTGTATTTTAAAAATAGTTACTGTATATGCATGTGTTTATTTCTGGGCTCTCAGTTCTGTTCCACTGGTCTATATGTTTGTTTTAACGCCAGTACCATAAAGTTTTGATTAGAATACCTTTGTATTAATATAATTTGAATTTAGGAAGTGAAATGCCTCCAGCTTTGTTTGTCATTCTCAAGTAGCTTTGAATAGTATGGGCATTTCAATAACACTAATTTTTATGTCCATGAACATAAGATGTCTTTCCATTTGTTTGTCTTCTTCAATTTGTTTCATCAATGTCTTACAGTTTTTAATGTAGAGACATTTCACCATCTTGGTCATTTTTATTCCCAGGTATTTTATTGTTTTTGATGTTATTGTAAATAGGATGGCTGTCTTTCTTTTCCAGATAATTCATTATTAGTGTATAGAAATGTGACTACGTTTTCTAGGTTGATTTTACTACAACTTTACTGAAATAATTTATTAATTCTGACAGCTTTTGGTGAAATCTTTAGGGTTTTATGTATATTAAGATCATTCATATGCAAACAGATAGTTTTACTTCTTCCTTCTGATTTGGATACTTTTTATTTCTTTTTCTTGCTTAAGTGCTCTGGCTAAGACTTCCAGTACTATGCTGAATAGGAGTGGTGGGAGTGGGTATCCTTGTCTGGTTACTGTTCTTAGAGAAAAAGCTTTCACCACTGAGTGTGATGTTAGCTGTGGGTCTGTCATATATGGGCTTTATTATGTTGAGGTAGGTCCCATGTATGCCCAATTTGTTGAGAGCTTTTATCATGAAAGGTTACTGAGTTTTTAAAAATGCTTTTTCTGTATTTATTCATATGATCATGTAATTTTTGCCTTTAATTCTGTGAATGTAACTTTCCACACTGATTGTTTTATGAATGTTTGTTTAATCATCCTGTCATCTCTAGAATAAATCCCACTTGATCATGGTATGTGATCCTTTTCATGTACTGTTGAATTCAGTTTTCTAGTATTTTATTGAGAATTTTTGAATCTATATCAGTTAAAGATATTCACCTGTAGTTTCCTTTTCTTGTAGTATCCTTATCTGGCTTTGATATCTGTGTAATATTGGCCTTGTAGAATGAGCTAAGGTTATCCCCATCTCTTCAAAATGTTGAAAGAGTTTGAGAAAGATTAGCATTAATTCTTCTTTAAGTGTTTCATAGAATTCATCAGTGAAACCTGGTTTTTCTTTGTTGAGAAGCTTTTCAATACTAATTCAATCTCCTTACTTGTTGGTCTATTCAGATTTTCTATTCATTCTTGATGTAGACTTGGTAGGTAATATGGTTATACAGATATATCCATTTCTTCTATGTTGTCCAATTTGTGGGAAAATTATTATATATAGGAATGGCTTATGAGCCTTGGTCTTTTTGTGGTATCACTTATAATTTCTCCTTTTTCATTTCTAACATTGAGTCCTCTCTTTCTTTTCTTGGATAGTCTACCTAAAGGTTTATCAATTTTGTTTTGTCATTTCAAAAACACCAACTCACAGTTCTATTAATCTTTTTTACTCTTTTACTTATTAATTTTATTTATTCTCTATTTTACTCATTTCTGCTCTAATCTTTATCATTTCCCTCTTTCTGCTAACTTTGAGCTCAGTTTTTCTTTTTTTAAAATTGAGTTATAGTTGATACACAATTTATATTGGTCTCAAGTATACAACACAGTGGTTCAACAATTACCCATATTATTAAATCCTCACCCCCAGTGCAATTACAATCTGTCAACATAGGAAGATGTTACAGAATCATTAGCTACATTTTCCATGATGAGCTACCATCATTGTGACAACTTATATTATGATTGAGAATTTTTGTGCCCTTTTATTCCCTTCAGGCTCCCCACCCATGGCACCCCACCCCAGCCCCCATGGTAACCATCAGTCACTTCTAAATTTCTATGAGTCTACTGCTCTTTTGTTCATTTTGTTTTAGATTACACAAATAAGTGAAATCATATGGTATTTGTCTTTCTCCACCTCACTTATTTCATGTAGTATGATACCTTCTAGGTCCATCCATGTTGTTGCAAATGGCAGGATTTCTTTCTTTCCTATTGCTGAATAATAGTGCATTGTATATATGCAACATCTCTTTATCCATTGATTGATTTCCCCATCTTGGCTTTGGTAAATAATGCAGCAATAAACATAGGGGTGCATATATCTTTTCAAATCAGGAATTTTGTTTCTTCAGGTAAATTCCAAGAGGTGGAATTACTGGGTCATATGATATTTCTGTTTTTAGTTTTTTGAGAAACCTGCATACTGCTCTCCACAGTGGCTGCACCAATTTACATTCCCACCAACAGTGTAGGAGGGTTCCATTTTCTTCACACCTTCAACAGCACTTGTTATTTCTTCTCTTTTGGAAAATGGCTATTCTGACTGGTGTGAGATTATATCTCACTGTGGTTTTGATTTGAATTTCTCTGATGATAAGTGATGTAGAACATCTTTTCATGTGCCTGTTGGTCATCTATTTTTTCTTTGGAAAAATATCAATTCAAGGCCTCTGCCCATTTTTTAATTGGGTTATTTGTTTTTTGCTTTTGAGGTTTATAAGTTCTTTATATATTTTGGATGTTAACCCCTTATTGGATGAGTCATTTACAAATATACTCCCCCATACTGAAGGTTGCCTTTTTGTTTTATTGTGCAGAAGTGTTTTAGTTTGATGTAGTCCCACTTGTTCACTTTTCATTTTGTTTCCCTTGCACGAGGAAATACATCCAGGAAAAAGTTGCTCATGCTTGTGTTCAAGAGATATTGCCTCTTGCCTTCTAAGAGTTTTATGGTTTCATGTAGTACATTCAGGTGTTTGATCCATTTCAAAGTTTAATCCATTTACTTTTGTGTATGGAGTTATACTGTAATCCAGTTTCATTTTCTTACATATAGCTGTCCAGTTTTCCCAACACCAGCTATTGAAGAGGCTGTCTATTTCCCACTGTATATTCATGGCTCCTTTATCATATATTAATTGACCATATATGCATGGGTTTGTATCTGGGCTTTCTAGTCTCTTCTATTGATCTATGGGTCTCTTCTTATACCATACTGGTTTGTGTAGCTTTGTAGTAGAGCTTGAAGTCAGGGAGTGTAATCACCCCAGCTTTTTTCCTCTTTCTCAGGATGGCATTGGCTATTCAGGGTCTTTTGTGGTTCCATATGAATTTTTGAACTGTTCTAATTAATTGAAAAATGCTGTTGGTATTTTGATAGGAATTGCATTAATCTATAGATTGCTTTGGGCAGGATGGCCATTTTGACAATATTAATTCTTCTTATCCATGAGCATGGGATAGATTTCCACTTACTGGTGTTTTTAATTTCTCTAAGTGTCTGATGTTTTCAGAATACAGATCTTTGATATCCTTGATTAGGTTTATTCCTTGGTGTTTTATTCTTTTTGATGCAATTGTAAATGGAATTGTTTTCTTGATTTTTCTTTCTGCTAGTTTGTTGTTAGTATACAGGAATGCAACAGATCTCTGTGGGTTAATATTGTATCTTCAACTTTGCTGAACCCAGTTATTAGTTCTAATAGATTTTGGTGGAGTCTTTAGCGTTTTCTATGTATATCATGTCATCTGAAAATAATGACAGTTTAACTTTCTGCTTACCAGTTTAGATACCTTTTATTTCTTTACCTTGTCTAATTGCCATGGCTAGGATCTTCAGTACTATTTTGAATAAAAGTGCTGAGAGTGAACATCTTTGTCTTGTTACTGATCATAGAGGAAAAACTTTTCTCTATTAAGTATGTTAGGTGTGAGTTTGTCACATATGGACTTTATTATATTGAGGTACTTATCCTTTGTATCCTTTTTGTTGAGAGTTTTTATCATGAATGAATGTTGAATCTCATCAAATCCTTTTTCAGCATCTATTGAGATGATCATGTGGTTTTTATCCTTTTTGTTAATATGGTATATATGGCATTGATTGATTTGCAAGTATTGTACCATCTTTGTATCCCTGGAATAAATCCACTTGGCCATGATGGATGATCCTTTTGATGTATTTTTGCTAATATTATGTGAGGATTTTTGCGTCTATGTTCATCAGAGATATTGGTCTAAGATTTCTTTTTCTGTAGGATCTTTGTC